ATGGATAGATGGATAGATGGATAGATGGATAGATGGATAGATGGATAGATGGATAGATGGATAGATGGATAGATGGATAGATGGATAGATGGATGACAGATACATGATAGATATGATAGAGAGAGATGGATGATAGATGCTACATAGAGATGAGAGAGGGGGATGATAGATAGATGACAGATTAGATAGATAGATAGATAGATAGATAGATAGATAGATAGATAGATAGATAGATAGATAGATAGATAGGAGATGGATGATAGATAGATGCTACATAGAGAGAGATGAGAGAGAGAGGGATGATAGATGATATGACAGATAAGATAGATAGGTAGGTAGGTAGATAAGTAGATAGGTTGGTAGGTAAATAGACAAAGACAGAGATGAGACAGATAAGATAGATAGATAGATGATGATACATGATAGATGGATATGATAGAGATGGATGATGATAGATAGATAGATAGATAGATAGATAGATAGATAGATAGATAGATAGATAGATAGATAGATATGGATGATATATAGATGCTACATAGAGAGAGAGAGATGAGAGAGAGAGGGATGATAGTTAGATGATTAGATAGATATGACACATGATAGATAGGTAGGTAGGTGGGTAGATAGATGATGGATAGATACCATAGATGGATGGATTGTAGATGGATGGATGGGTAGACAGATAAATAGAGGGAGGGATGGAGAGAGGAAGGCAGGCAGGCAGGCAGGAAGGGAGGGAGGGAGGGAGGGAGGGACTGTTTAAATTTTCCCCAACTTTTATCTCTAAAAAAACTACTAATGATCATGAAATGCCTGTCATTCCTCCCTCGAAGTTGGCACGGCAGCATTCAGAAACATTTTCGGGAGAGAGTTCCAGCACCTGGCAAGAGACGTGTCCTTTGTTTCCAGAGCCAAGGCGATGTCCACTAGGTGATTTAGGTAGCTCGTACTGGCTTTAGAGAGGCTGCTAAGGGAAAGATTCAGACCCTCCATTAACAGTTCCTGCAGGAAGAGGCCTGGGGAAACAAAGGTAAGGAAACCTTAGGGCCAGGATGGCAAAACTATGGCAGATATATCTCTCGGCGGGCACACCAGCCGTCGCCCCAACCGAGCTCCATCGTACTTGCATGTATGCCTCCCGCCAGCCAGCTGGTCTTTGGGTCTCTACTGCGCATGCGCGGGTGGCAGGGCACATGCGGGATATGTGTGCACACATGAATGAGGGAGGGGGGCATGCACTGGGAAGGTGCTTGCATTCCATTTTGGGGGCTTGCGCAGCGCCACCCATGGCCCATTTTGACTTCCAGGTTGATGCAGGAGGGCTTGCACGCACATGAGCAGGGGGTGGGGCGTGCGGAGGGGTCACGCACATTGCATTATGGGTGTGGGCACATGCATGCCCTTTCAGCACGTGACACCAAAAAGGTTAGCCATCCCTCCTTTAGGGCATAAGTATGTTTGGCCTGAGGCTGACACAATTACTCTAATCTACCATATTTTTCGGAGTATAAGACGCACCAAGATTTTGAAGAGGCAAATTTAAAAGGGGGGGGGGTTGCACTCTGCAGACCCTTCAGAAATGGCCCGTTTTTCACAAAAATGGGCCCATTTTTTGTCAAATAGGGGACATGCATAGCCTTTAGGAGGCTTGTAGAGTGCTCCTGGGGCTGGGAGAGCAAAAATGAGCAAAAACCGGCTTGTTTTTCGCTCATTTCTACCCTCCCCAGCCCCAAGGAGCCCTCTGGAAGCCTCCTAAAGGCTAGGCATGGGCATCTTTGCGAAGGGGGCGGGGTTTCGGGAGGCCAAAAATGCTGTATTCAGGGTATAAGACGCACCCAGATTTTCACCCTCTTTTGGGGGGCGGAAGGTGCGTCTTATACTTAGAAAAATATGGCAATTAAGAGAACCAGTTGGATGTAGTAGATAGTCCCGTCTTACAGCCATAATGGAGCCCAGAATTTCTGTGGCTGAGCAAGACAGTGGTTACAGGGGTTTTTTGCCCCATTTTAGGACCTTTCTTGCCATAGTTGTTAAGTAGCAATAGCAATAGCAGTAGACTTATATACCGCTTCATAGGCCTTTCAGGCCTCTCTAAGCGGTTTACAGAGAGTCAGCATATTGNATGGATGGATGGATGGATGGATGGATGGATGGATGGATGGATGGATGGATGGATGGATGAGATTGGAGATAGATGGGTGGTTGGATGGATGAATGGGTGGGCAGATAGGTAGGTAGGTAGGTAGATAGATATAGATAGACAGACAGACAGATAGATGAGAGAGAGAGAGAGATGATAGAAAGATAGTTGAGAGACACACATAGAGAGAGATGGATGAAAGATAGATAGATGAGAGAGAGAGAGTTGGAAAACACAGAGAGACATACATTCATAGTGAGAAGGTGGTTTCAAGAAACTCTGCTCTATCTTTTCCCTGTTTGGTTTTAATGATTCCTGACATCCTGTCGGCCATATTGCCAAGTGTCTTCCTGAGAAATGGAGGAACAGATTGCCTTCTTGACAGCAAAGAGGAGGAAGGGAGGGGAAGGTGTGAAGCAGAGAAAAAGTGAGGAAGAAAAACTGTACCAACCCCAAAAGCTTCCTCCTCCCTCCCTCCCCCCCTCTCTCCCTTCTCTTTATCTTGCTCCCTGATTCTCTCTGTCTCTCCTTCTCTCTTCTCTCATCACTCTCTTTCTCTATCTTGCTCCCTGTTTCTTTCTCTCTTGCTCTGTTTCTCTCTCCTCTCTCTGTCTCTTTCTCTCTGTCTCTCTCTTCTCTCTCACTCTTCCTGTTTCTCTTTCTCTTGCTCCTTGTCTCAGTCTCTTTTCTCTCTATCTCCTCTCTCTTTCTCTCTCTCTCCCTGTCTCTCCTTTCTCTCTCTGTCTCTTCTCTTTCTCTCCCTTTTTTTTTCTCTCTCTCTCTCCCTGTCTTTGGGAATGCATCCATTCAGTTTTTAACAAGTTGGGTTTAAGCAGGACGTATGAACCCGTGTGCTGTAGGAAAAAGAGCAGGCGGACCTGGGCAGGGGAGTTAAGCAAGTCATCAGCCTAGAATCGTTACATTCCCACAAATAGTCCAACTCTAATCTCTCTCCAATTCCATTAAACTCTTGCCTGGCACCAATTCAGTGCTGGCTATTAGTTAACTAGTTTTTGTGTATAGCCTTGAGCAATACATTTTCTGAACTGCACACTTAACCTATGGTCCTTTTTTCAGAGGTGTGGGATTGTTGTTAAAGAGACAGTTTGGTATAGTGGTTACGGCATCAGGCTACAAACCAGGCGGCCACGAATCTAGTCCTGCCTTAGGCATGAAAACCGACTGGGTGACTTTGGGCCATCCACTAGGAGATAGTGAGTTCTAGTCCCACCTTTGGCACAAAGCCAGTTCAGAGACCCTGGGCCAGCCATTCCCCACCAGCCCTAAGAAGGAAGCAATGGCAAACCACTTCTGGACAAAAAAAACCTTGCCAAGAAAACAGCAGGGAATAAATAATCCATCTTCGTGAATCGGACCCAATCAAATGGAAGAAAAATAATAATAATAATAATGCAAGTTCAACTTCAATTCTATTATGCTATCAACAAATTCTCTGCCTCCCTCCACCATTTCAAAACTCCCAAATTTCTCTGTCTGGAGGATGCAGTTCTCTGCCTATTTACATAAGTACCCGAGGCTGTTTTCCCATCTTTATGCATTAGCTTGGCGTAAATATACACGAGAATTATTTCAACACTAATTCTGTTTGAAAACATTCGAACTGTGCCTGTATATTCCTGGCTAAAAGCATGTCCCTTGAGTGGTACGCGTATTTTGTTTCTTTTTTAAAAAAAGAAAAATCTGCATTTATAGTTTAACGTCACATTTATAAGTAATCTAGGTCTGGGATCTAATGCCTCCTTTTTAAAAAGCTTTAAAAATTTATAGTGTTTATCGCAAACATTTACGCAATCTTACAAAATGATTTGTAGTGAGCAGAAATGCTTTAGGAGGACGATGAGAAATGAGAAAAAAGGGTTTTTTTTTGAGGGGGGGTATTCTCCTTCCAACGAATAGGGAAACGTTCTGATTTGGCATACTTTTCCATGGAATTTCCCCCCATAAAGAAATCTGTAGAATAGTTCATCAATGTGTTTCGCTTTATATAAATGCTCCGTATGATTGACTCCTTTGATTTTTTTTTAAATAATGAAAAGAGTTTTACTAAAGGAGAATATTTGTAGCCCAGCCTTGAAACGAAGGACCCTCGGCAGTTTTTTTTATAGACATCTCATGATCCAACTAGGTAATGTCATCAGTGCCAGAGTGAGGTTTGTTCCCTGTTTATATATAGAGAGTCGCTCTGAGTTGGTTGTTTCCTCGCAGAGGCCTCATGATCCAAAACTAGGTAACCTCATTGGTTATTTCCTCCACTTGATTTTCCTTTCTTAATCTCACTTGGGTGACTCTCAATCTCATTTTCGAGACTATCCTTTGCATGGAACTTTTAATACTATGCCTTTCCTGGTCGTTTCGAGGATAACAGAATAGAAAGTTGGAAGGCACTTCGGAGGTTATGTAGTCCAACCTCCTTCTCAAGCAGGAGATCCTATACTGTCCAGTCTCTTCTTCGAAACCTCCATTGTTGGAGCACCCACAACTTCTAGAGGCAAGGAGTTCCACCGATTCATTGTTCTCGCTGTCGGGAAATTATTTCTAGGTTGCTTCTCTCCTTGGTTAGTTTCCACCCATTGCTCCTTGTCCTGCTTTCAGGTGTTTTGGAGAATAGCTTGACTCCCTCTTCTTTTGGGCAGCCCCTGAGATATTGGAAGACTGCTATCAAGTCAGCCCTGGTCCTTCTCTTCGTTAGGGGAGACATATCCAATTCCTGCAACCGTTCTTCTTCGTAGGCTTTAGCCTCCTAAATCATCGAAACGAGCGCTAGGTGGCTCAGTGGCTAAGACGCTGAGCTTGTCGATCAGAAAGGTTGGCATTTTGGCGGTTCGAATCCCTACTACAGGTCTATTTGCGTGAGCAGGGGGTTGGATTGGATGACCTCTTCCAACTCTGTTGCTGTTATTTATTATCTCCGTTGCTCTTCTCTGCCCTCTTTCCCGAAAAGGAGCAGGCGTTGGTCTTTGGAAAAACAAGTCACTGATCTGTACGTACCACGGAAAAACCCAATTGGGAGAAGAATGGCCTCTTATTTTTCTCCCCCTACAAAATCTGGGTCAGGATGGGGTGGGGGGGGTCTTTTCTATGTGAATAGCTGGCACCAGGTCGGAGTCCTTTTTATTAA